GCTCTTTGTAAGATGTTTGTCGCACTATAGGCCTTCATTGACGCCATCTACAGTAGACAGAAATAAGAAGAGAGAGGTGGGAGGAAGAAATGCAGTAACAGTCTCACATGTACACTGATGGCTGAAGCCCCTCCATATGGGATGCTGATGCACATTTTGATACATGTAATATCTGTGATACCTGTAACAATGCATTTGCATATCTGTTTTACAAACAGAAATAAACTGATGAATCTTAAATTGAGAAAAAACTGTTGATTAGGGGTGTTAAACTATGTCTTTAGGTAGATTGAAACTCACTTTAAATAGAAGGAAAACATTAACCTTATAACCTAAGTTGCTTGTAGCAAGAAGTGTTCATTATATCTCACCAAGTTAAAAAAAAACTACTTAAAAGGCTACTGGAAGTCTCCTCCACTTCAAACTGCAAACCCTGAACCCTCAAGTCACTGACTGGAGCGACTGTTGATGGTTTAACAGATAATTGCAGTCAGGCAGTGAAATAGTGCCTGTTTGAAGTGGAGGTGATTGAGCTGAAGATGCTGCTGAGGGTCAAAATTAACTACCTTGTTCTATGACATTACATCAGTTGGATGGCTGATCTGCAGCAGGGGTGCAGCAGCTTGGTGAATAAATAGAAACCTTTAAAGGGGAACGCCGTTTTTTTTTACATTTGCCCCTTGATTTTACGTTATTACATCATCTTCTACTCACCCATATAAGTTTTGTGTCATTTGAAGCTGTTCTGATGATATTTTGTTAAGTTATATCCAAGTAACGTCTTCCTATGGGCAACGTGTTGAAGGCACAAAATAAACTGTTCATAATTTATTCTTTATGGTACGCCAGCATTCATAACATGTAGACGAATCACTGTCCCCCAGACATCCACGGTTATATTTTTTAAATATTTATATCTTTTAAAAACAAAGCGGTGAGTGTATGACGTCATCCGCGCATGCAGACTGGAGTCGTAATAGGAAGCCTGGGCCACAGGTGGCTATTCTATTCATTCGGCTAGCTAATCTGAATCGTTCAATTCCATTTCGAGAGCGAGATCATCTGTGATTGTAGCGCTAGACATCTTCCGGGTATGGAAGTAAAACTAGCAGCAGTTCAGCGGACAGGAAGAATGAACGCTAGCCGGCGCGCGGATGATGTCATACACGTGCCGCTTCATTTTTAAAAGATATTAATATAAAAAATATAACCGCGGATGTCTGGGGGACGGTGGTTCGCCTACATGTCATGAATGCTGGCTTACCATAAAGAATAAATTACGAACAGTTTGTGCCTTCAAGTCGTTTGCCCATAGGAAGACGTTACGGAATATCTTCAGAACGGCTCCAACTGACACAAGACTCACATGGGTGAGTAGAACATGATGTAATAACGTAAAATCAAGGGCCAAATGTAAAAAATGCCCTTTAAGCGGGAGAGCCATAGTTAGAGTGAAAAGCTGTTCTTTGGTATGGCATAAAATCCTTGCTCCCGAGTTTGAAGCACCTTAAAAGGCATGGTTTTCTAGTGATACTGCCACCTGTGGAAGAAAAAAAAACTGCAGCACTCTTCTGCTCATTCTCATAGCACATGCCTATACTTGACAACTTTGTTTCTTTTTTTACTTTTTTTCCCCCTCATCTGGAGTTTCCATTGGTGTTCGAGTTGAGCTGGATGTCGTTTCGATTCACTTCGATTGTTTGCTGGTTTTGCTCATTTGACATATTTTGTATCGGTACTGAACTACTGAGGTGTCAGTCTGCTCAACAAAGGATGTATTCGTTGTAAAGTACCAAATAAAAAGTCGACTGTATAGAAAATTTCAGCAGAAATAAAAAAAAAAGTCTCTTTAAATGAAGATGAACCTACAGTTTACATTTTTATACCTACAAAATGCTGCACCCTAAATGCACCTGGGAGCGTTATCACAGATCCTTCCTCCCAGCAGCTGTAAAACATTATAACCATCACTGTTCCCAATAACTTCAATAAGTTGTTATATTGATGCAGATTTTTTGCACAGTCTCTATCTTAGTCAGTTAAATAACATGCTGCTGTTAATGCTGTTTTTCTCATATCTATTACTGCAAAAATGTCCACAGCTGTTATTGATTTTCATTATCCAGATACAGTGTTATATGTAAAACACTGTCCAGTACAATACGCCATTGTTTTATTTTCCTATCTGTTATTTTTATACCTTTTTCTCAGGTGCACATTGTGTGACCACTTTTACTCTAACATTTACTGCTGTAAACACCACAATTTCCCCATTGTGGGACAATAAAGGAATTTTCTATTCTGTTCTTTTCTTCCCTTAAGTATTTTGAAGAGAAGTTTTTCTTCTGTCTAATTTTGAATTTTGATGCTCTAAACATTTGAATTGCTTATTTAACTAGATGCTCAGAATCAGCAAAATTTTTATTCTTTGTTCTAATGGGGTTTTAAGTCCATGTATTACCTTAATATCCTATGGTTTGGAGGTGAACAAATTTCCCCTAATTGACATTGACAGTAAGTGCATGAATGCAAGAAAGACAATGCCAGTGCCAGCCACTAGACCATAGCTATATGAAGAATGGAGCACAGCAGGGCAGGCAGAACCAAAGGTCCCTCTCACAGGGGGAGTGATTAAGGCATTGCACAAAGCCCACAGGGGAGTGAATGGCCAGAACAGAGATCTCATTACCCATAATGCAGTTGAAGAGGTATTCTTGCCCAACCTAGCGTGAAAAAAATCACACACAATGTCATAACATTATCTAAAATCCCTCTGCTGAACTAATAGTTTTCAAAGGGAGGTTGGTGGACATTTGTTCTGAGGTTTTATTTTGCTTAAAGGAATGAGCCTAGGAGATAGGAGACAAGAAAAGGAGAGTGTAGCATGTAGGAGTTAATGCATTTGCATAGCATGTTCTGTTTCCACAATAGATTGGTCAATTACTCTAGTGATTTTTAGAATATGTGGCAATGTTTACAGTTCCCTTTATATCCGTTGATGAAAAAACTTACATGTTAAAGCAACAGTTCTTTTGTGTTTATGTTGAGCAAAAGATGATAAAATATGATTTTAGATTAAACAACAAACAACTGCAGATTTTTGAAAGAGCATGCTGTCCTTCACTTGGCAATGCTAGTGCAATAAAATCACTACTGTAGAGCCTCAACTTGAGGTCCGAATGTGGCAGAACTGTTCTGCTTTATCGACTGCATCTTGACAGGAAAAGATGAGGGATTTTTTACTAACACTTTGACACTTTCTGCTCATCCTTGTAGCCCATAAATGCTACTCTTGGTATCATGCTGTGAGATATTACCAGGATCTCACAGCATTTAATGGTAAATTTTCACAATAAACTTCTGTATTTTCACATTACAATTTTGTCACAATATGTGGAATATGATACTGTAATTGAGTATTCTACTGTGAAATTTATTTTTGCACAATAGATTACTGTAAACATTATTTTTCACAAACATTAAAACAACATTTTAGCCCTACTGTAGTGTTGTCCGGTAAAATACTGTAATAACACCATCCTTTGTGATAAGACAATACATTACAGTACAATTTGACACACCTGCATTGCTTTTTCTAAACAGTCTTGGCTTACAGTTAGAGTCGTTTTGACAGTGATGCCAGTATCTAAAATGCAGCTAATACTGCTCAAAGTGGGGCTCAGGTACCAATCATATATCTAATTTTTGAAATATAATCTAATTACTGATTAGCTCTATGTGCGGCCTTCTGGTATTTAAGAAAGACGGAGAAGAACTGATCACTCTTAAGGATTTAACAGGATTTAACCTGAGCCAGACCTTACCACCATGATATTCATATTACAGTGATGCATGTGGAATGTATTAATATTTGTTTTTACAACATATTGGTATCTGTACTCTGTATTAGCAATACCCAGAGCACAAATATCTGTAATGGGAGGCAAAATCACAGCTTCTCTTTCATTACTAATTTCGATCTTTTGTGTTGGATTCACTGACAGGGAAACAGAGTCTAGAGGATGTACCATGCAAAATGCAAAGATGCATTTATGTAAAACTGAGTTGTTCTTTTTTTTTTTACTGTTTACAGATACTTCTCAGGCATTAACCTTGAAGCAGGATCATAGTCCAGCAAAAAGCCCTCATTTGAGGAAACTGGTTCATAAACTGATTGACTTTGAATGGATGATGAGAATGTGCAAAGTAGATAAATGTGTTCACTTTCAGCTCTGTATATTCTTTTCTTCTATTTTGTCTAGTTTCTGTTATAAAAGATTAAATGGGTATGGTCATTTTTTTAATGTACATGGCGCAAATTCAAACCATGTTTTAAATAAATCTCAGATCAAATGTATATTTTACTAACTTATATATATATATAAGTTTATATATAATATATGATTATTATTATATATTATAGTTACTGAGTTGTATTAGTGTTACAGTAACAATGTTAAAATATTGTGACTTATATATTGCAACATACTGTGAATCCAAAGCAACATACAGCTCTTTCACAGTAATTCCATCTCCATTGTTATTTTGGTAGCTGTTATTATGGTAGAACTTACTGTTAAGTACTCACAATAACTTACTGTGATATATTTACAGTAAAATACTTGGATATATTCCCTGTCGATTACTGTGAAATTACTGTGACTGTAATGCAATCGGTAGCCAGGAATTTACGGAAGTGCATGCTTCTGAGTGCAGTTGGACCAGATTGATACCAAGACAAATATCATCAGTGGTGTTTCCTGTAGTGTTACAACCTGTAATCTACATTTCAAATGTGAGTAAAGGGAATATTTTCCAAAATAACTTACTAAATTTTAACATTTTTTTTAGAACGTGTTTTTTTTTGTTTTTTTCTAAGTGCACGATGCCAATCATTAACTTTCCTTGACTTATTTGATGTCCAAATATTGTTTGAAAAAGACTAGCTACCCCCTACTTTTGGGTTTGCATGTTAGCCTTCAGGATCTCAGCCACCCTACCTGGTTGATGATGTAAATGCCGTAGTCAATCTTCTGTCGTCTGAGGATAGGGTGGAGGTAGTGGAGCCAGTACTTCAGATGATTTTCTCTGTGACGGAATGGGATGATGATGGCAACCTACAACATAAAGACGCAAACTTCATGCTGTTTTCTTTAGTCTTTGTTGAAAAAGGAGACCTAAAAAACTAAAATAACAATGAATATTGTTTAATTTTTGCATTTTAAATAGCATTAAAACATTTCCCCTTTTGTAAAATTAATGCCACAATTTTTTATGAATTGTGCTGAGATTCTATGCAAAGGAAAAACACAAAATAGTGTGCAATTGCAGAGTTGAAGAGAAGTTATACACAGTTTTCGTCATAGCTGCAAAGCGTTTGAGTTACAAAACAAACCAAAATATTAATATGTGTAATACTTCAATGACAGAGGCAACTGCTTGGATGCAATAGTGTCTAAGATATTTTCTAAATCAAATGCGTATAATTCCTGCAAACAATACATTTTCCTATTGAACAGATTTCCACAAATAAGTGAATAATAAAACAGAATGAATAAAAATAAGGATTGTGTCTGTTTATTGAGCATATTATGCCTTATTGATTGATATCTATCGAAGATTTCTGCAGAAGGACAAATACTTATAGTGAGTCTATTTTAGGGAGGGCAACATGCTTACTGGGAGAAAAAAACAAATAAAAAACAAATAGATGTAACAGCGATCCTAAAATACAAAATCAAATTAAACAAAACTGATAGATTTTTTCTTTCTTGGCATATTTCAAATTGTTCATTCTTCAATGCTACTTTCTGACTACCACACTTGAACCCCCTTTATAAAACTTGTATCCATTTATTTTCCTTACTAATGTCTGTAAATGTGAATTAAAAAAAGTATATTGATAAAAAAAATCATTAACTTCAACATTTTCAATCATTTAAAAACAAACCAGAGAAAAACAAAAGATGAAAAGTGCAAGTTTTGACTGTTTTTTTGGGGTTAGATTATTGTACCACATTTTATATTATTCTTGTCAACATCATAAATAAAAAAAGACAACAAATACAAACAGAGAAGCATCCAAATACCTTCCATCTTGGCCGGCAGTCAGGTGGCTTGTAACGGCCTCCCTCTGTGACGTTTGGGTTTTCCTTCTGCACTCGCTCCATCGTCATCTGGGAGCTAAACTCTATCAGCAAGCGTCCCACTGGAAACAAAAGAGGGGAGAAAGAATGAGGGAAGAGTTAGAAATGAGAGGGAAAACTGTGGGTAAAAAGAAAAAGAAGAAAATGGAAATAAATGAAAAGAGCAAGAACTGCAACAGAGGACACAAGGGATTTTAGCAGGGAGGGAGAGACAGAGCTGTTAGTTTAAATAAAAAGCTCTAGGAATGCAGGCTGCCATTATAGATTCTAGAGATGCACTCTTCAAAATGCAGATTTCAGTCAGATGTAGACAGTTTTAAAAAGATGCATCGTAAAAAAACTGGCTTAAAAGCGATTCATGAGAGGATATTTCTATTCTATTCCAAACACAAGACGAAAAATGATAGGCTTCACAAAGCTAATGCCAAGGCATCGGGCTGTATCCAAACAAATGCATTCATCATTTATTAGAGCAACTAGTTAAAAATTAAATCTATGCCTGTGTGTTTCTCTGTCTTAGATTGTGTATTCAGAGCAGCTAAAAGAAAAGTGCCTAAAATCTCCTCACTCTGAGATCCATTATATGTAAATTATACAAGTGATACAAGCAAGCCCTGCAACCCTATTGGGAATGTTTCCAAAGCAGGGGCTGAAGGCTCAAAGTTATATTTAATATTTCATGTTTATCTTCAGTCTCATGTCAAACAAAAAGCGCTTACATCGTAAAAATGGGTTAAATAAATTATGTGCAAAAAGCATTATAAGCATTACAAAAAGCATTACAAACAAAACTATAGATTGCTGATATTTTCAATTTAAATCCCATCTATTTTATAGCAGGTAAATCGTTGCACCATTTATTTTGAGTTGCAACCAAAGCAATTAATTGGTTATTTTGTGCTGTGGCAGCCCACTGCTCCCAATAGGGGATGGGTTAAAAGGAGAGCTAATTTCACCATTTTGAGATAAATAAATTTAAATTTATCTTAAGGTTAAAGGTGTCTTTAGAACGTATACTACTTTAAACCTTTATATGTTTTGTAAAATTACAACCCCAAAGTTCGAGGCATTTTATTGAGTTTTTATTTCATGGATACATTTTTTAATCAACACAAGTGCAATTCTCTACCAGCCCAGCAAATCTAGAGATGCCTAATTTCTTTAAAGCAACACTAAGCGGAATGTCAATATTTTAGATAGAAAAAGCTAAAAAATTGTTTTGTAAAGATCTAAAGGTATCTTTTCAGATGGACTATGGTAAAACATCACACACCATCTCTCTGTGTTGTTTTCCAATTCCTTGTTTAGATTTGCTAACTAAGAGAACTAAGTGAGAACTAGTTCTCTAACAACCAAGATTTCTCTATCATCAAGCCTATCTGGACTGATTAATATTTTAGACTAGTACTTGTCAATCCTAATGCTCGGACAATTTTCACTTGATTGGCCATGACCGGCAACTGGCCGTTCATTAGGAAGACGAGCAATTTCAAGCGCGGGTTGTTGTGTTCGTGATGAGCAAATATGCATCTTTCTTCTGCACTTGGTGCATGTTATTTTGGTCAGAGTGCCCAAACCACAGGGACCAATTAGAGCAGGAACAGGCTACACGTTGGCCGAGGCGCGCCTCTAGAGCAGGCATGCCCAAAGTTGGTCCTCGATGGCCATTGTCCTGCAGGGTTTAGAGGTCTGATTTTCATCGATAGCTTATTAACAGGCGTCGGCAGAACTGCAATCATCAGAATCAGCTGTGCTGGAGCAGGGAAACTTCTGATACCTGTAGGACAGCAGCCCTCGAGGACCGACTTTGGCCATGCCGGCTCCAGATACTAAGTACGGCAGAGGATCAGAGAAGCCTACCAGACAGACAGAGGGGCAGACCACGAGGAAAGAATGGTGGCTGGCTCTGTGTTTGTGCTGGAGGTAGGATGGTGAAACAGTCCAGGACTAAATTAAAACAGATTTTTTCAAAGCCACCTACAAACCTATTACGAGCATTCTTTATTTCATCCTCTTTCAACATTATTATCTCTGTCTTCCATTTTGATCATGATACTTTAACATCTCCAGTTTTATTTCATCAATATGCGTTGTTAATTTACCTCAGACATCAGTATTAAGGATTTTATGGATTTGATGCTTGAAACTGTGATCAGCAGAAAAGTATTTTGGTGATCAACCAAACTAGCATCGACCAAACTTGGCTGATTACTGGAAAAGATCTTGGTGCCGGAGCGATCGTTGAGGCACTACGCCCATTAACACTATTTACATCTTACCAGATCTAAGTGTGGGTTACACTTTCATTCACAACAGCGATGAAATGCGGCTCAGCCAATCACATTTAAGAATGGGTAACACCAATTTTATTTACTACATCAAGTACACTAGTCTTAATTAACAACATATGGAAGGAAGACATTTTTCTACAGTAGAACCTAAGGAATGTTTCGAACCCACCCACCTCAGGTTTACACATCAATGTTGTGAAACCAGATTTCTCAGCTGGTGTTACTTACAGGTTTAACTGTTCATGCTGTTTCAACTCCCTTCCACCAGCGCACATCTTTAATTTACTCTTTAATAAGTCACTGAAAAGTTAAAGGTATAATGGAGGATTTTGGCAAATTTTTTGAAAAGACCTGCCACTTACAAAAAAAATGTATATGCACAACCCTGTATCTGCTCCCAAGAGAGAACACCTATTGCTTGAGAGAGCGTGCATGAGCCCATTTCTCCTTGTGCACGTCTGTTTAGCTTACTTTCCATAAGAAGATTTGCAATTTTTCCACTATGACTCAACACTGGTAAGTGAAAATTGGAACAAGCATGTAGGACGGCCTTATGTAAAAATATCACCAGAATGATTGACAATTAGAAGGACCACTTATTTTGATGATCCACCGAGAAAAAGAACCTTTAAGTGTTCCTTCATTTAGAGAAGAAATGGTAGAGAGAAAAAGTTAACTATGTTTTCCATAATCAAATGAAAGAGATCCCCTACACCCCTGCACATAATGCCTTTTAAAAAATCTGACTTTGATAAAGAGAGCTTTTTTTTTTTTTTTTTACATCGTATTCACGTATTCCAAAACCAAACTGTAGTTGTAACATGACAATATACAAAGAAGACTTTGGAAAATGACAGTGCTCACTCTGTATTTTTTATTTTAATATTCATAGCAGAGGAAAAAGTGCTAAATAAGATTTCCTTATATGTCTGAACTTCACAATTAGCCTTACTAATCTCAGTTTTTTCTATCTGAACATTGTTGCCACGGTTATTTGAAAACAGGATTAAAGTATATATTCCTTTAAAGACAATTAAGATGTATAAAGCCAAGGTGTTCATGTTTCATACATCAGATTGTTTTTTTTCCCAGTCATAACTGTCAAGATTTCTCCTCACCTACTTTTTGCATGAGCTCCTAGGTGGCTGCGGTTCCTTGTGACAAGATTATACATTTGAACAGAAAAACAATAACACTAAACATTACATGAACAGAGTAGAAAGCTTATATCCTGCAGTTGTTAAGCATAAGTGGTTTAAAAAACATCAGAAATATATTCAAAATGTTTAAGAATATATAAGAAAAAGTACTGTTTTGCAGCAAAAACACTATTATGATGAACAGTTGTTCTATGGTAGGTAATACTCTGCCTATTGCAAACTCTGTTTATAGCAGCAGTGTAAGGATATGTTGGAATAACTGGAAACACAATAGCTGTTATCAGCCAGAAATATTCCCTGTTATGAACTGAAACTAGGTATGCAGATAGAATAAACTCAAGCCTTGTTGCATAAGATAATGTACCTTTTCAACAGGACATATAAATGTATGTTGTACCCTGTGGGACACAGTTAAAGACAGATACTCAGTACTTTGCTTTCTTTGAGCTTGATCTCTCCTCTCTTAAAAGTCAACATAATTTTAATACTGCAGACATTATTGATGACAAATAAAATATTTCCTGTATATGCAAACAATGAAATAGACGTAAAAATATATCTGAAGGTCTTGGAAGTTACTGTGAATAAATTGGCTGTAAGGTTAAGGCTTAATATTATAGATGGGAGAAAATTCAGTATTAGGGTTTTTCCAGGTATATAGGGTTTAAATGATAGGAAGTGTCATGATGTACAGTAAATAGCTACTTTACATAAAATGTATTTTCTACCACATTCTGTAGGGGATAGACCTGTTCACTGAAAAAGAAAAGACAGAGAGAGAGAGATTTTTGTCACATATTACGAAGGCTGGAGGCACTATAGGCAAGCGGCTCCATTTTATCTTTGTGTGATTTTGACTCTCATGGATAATGCTCCATTTAAAAATGTTAGCCACTGTTTGGACATTTCTATTGCTAATGCTAGTACGTACTCTTGATTTTGAATGGCTAAAAAAATTCTAAATTATATTCTGATACCTTCATATTATACTTGCAATCACTTACACTCAGCCTTAGCAGGTCAAAGTATGCAAAGACAGGATCAAAAAATGGCCACAAAATTTCGAATGGTTAATTTTTGAATAAAAAAATTAAAAAGGGCATCACATAGGATGTTAGAAATCCATCATTCAATAACTGCTCATTTCTTGTACACCGGGTTTCAAATAATACTGTAGTTCTCAGTAAATCATAATGATGGTGTTAAATAGTATTTTAAGAGTTAAACTGTTATATTTGATATAATTTTTTACAGACTGAATCCAAGAAACATGAACTAACTTTTATTATGTGAAAGACAAATTTAAAAAAAATTGCCCAAAGAACCATTGTAAAGTTAATTCTTTGCAGTGTTGTGTGACTAAAAGATTAAGGGCCTTGTCCCAGTCTTAAGGAGGAGGACACATGGGAATTTGCTCTGATGTTGCAGCAGTTTTTCTCCAATCCTTTACCTTAATCCCAGCAGAAAGTTTAAATACAGTAGATTGATTGAGTATTAATCTTAAACACAAACAAGCCATCAAACCTTAGAAGCTCTTACTGGAAGATCGGGAAAGACTCAGTGTTATCTATGGACCTGCTGTAAAAAATTTCTATGAAAACAAAACAAAAA